AAAATTTATTGTTGTATATTTTGCATATTTGACAATTTTTCATTTATAAATGCATATTTGACCTTTTTTCATTTTATAACTGCATATTTGACAATTATTTATATGAAGGAGTAAGTTTTTTAATTTTATAAAAAAAATTATGGATTTATTTCTTTATAAATCACTCGACTTGGAACTCAAGGTGCCTTATTTGTGCACTAATTGAATCCATTAAAATAATTAAAATTTCAAAAGAACATATACATACATTCTACAAAAATTGAAGAATCTGCACAAGCAAACGCAATTGTTGACAAAATTAAAATAGTTTTGGAGAAAAAGGTTGGATTTGATCAACTACAAAAAATATCGAACATTTTAAATGAAAAAAATGAATCTATGGATAGATTGCCTGCAGATATTAACAGTAGTGACCTACCATTTTTTAAGTTTGTATCAATAAGTTCCGTAGACGAGGAACGTTCTTTTTCTAAATATAAAAATATTTTAGCTGATAACAAGCGATAATTTAAATTTTCCAACTTAAGAAAATATCTTATAGTCCAATGTAATATTCAAGGTAATTACCTTATAATTATAACTATTATGCATTATTGTTATTATTATTATTATTATTATTATTATTATTATTATTATTATTATTATAATTATATATAATATATTATATTATATTATTTTATATATTATAATTATAATTAGGTAATTATGACTATTTAACCATTTTAAATTTTTTGTTTTAGACAAAAACTCAATATAAAATGAAAACAAATTTGAAAAAAATAAAACAATTATCTCAGATCATCATATCTATCTATCTAAAAATATTATATTTTATTACTAATTAAATTTTTTTATTTAATTAATTATTACAAATATAATTTTTTTTAAATGCATATTTATTGATTCTTTAGGACATAAATGCATACATATTTTAAGGTTTTAAAAGGCATGAAGTACTTAGCCAGGGGCAGATCTAGGGGGGATGTTCAGGGGGTCAGCTGACCCACAATTAATATTTGTTGATAAAATTGGCATCTTAGAAATTTTTTTCCTTTTTGACCTTGATTTAGACTCTTGGACAGTTGGCCCATCGGAGTTACTTGAAAAATGAATGCCATGTATATTCAAAATTTAAAATTTTTCAATTCATAATTTATATTTAAAATTATATCGTTTTAGTAGAAAGTTAAGTAAATCATGTTTTATTCCGTACGTTTGTTGCGCTGATAAAATTAGATTATATTTATTAATCGTAAATAAGTCATTATTGATGGTATCACTAATTCTAAAATGTAATATAAATATACTTATACACTTTTATGAGCATATTGTGTTTTTTTTTTTTTTTTTTACAAGGTATTAATTTCTAATTCAGTTTCATCCCTAATAAATGGCCTCTTGAAATGGCTTGACCCACAGTTCCCCGACTCTGGATCTGCCCCTGTCCTTAGCCCTAATTATTTTATTTTGTTTTTTACCTATAATTATTACTACTAAATTATAATTATTTCTTAATATATACATCTCATATGACTTTAAATGTCTAATATTTTACCTAATTTTACTATAAAACATTATTTAATTTTTAATATCACTATATATGTATATTGAATATTTTATTATTCCCCTGTCAAGTAAAAATTATTAAAGCCCCCCCCCCCCAAAAAAAAAAAAAAAAAATTTAGGCATGCCTCTGACTTCGAATTTAAATTAAATGGCATTTTTTAAATCATACATTCTTTTTATTCGTACTTATGTACGAAAAATAATTCTTCATTTTGTTTTCATTTTCTTTTTATTTTCATTTTTATTTCATTTTCTTCATTTTGCTTAAAACTATCATGTTGTTGACTTAATACTTGTAAATATAAAAATTAAAATTTAAGACATGCCGAACTACCAAAACTGGTAAAATAAGAATATTTCGACTATTTCTCGCGTGAAATATAAGAATAGTAAAAATAATTCTAATAAAATATGAAGTTTCATACATGATAGGTAGAGTAGTGAAGTTGTTGCATTTGCATGTTGTTGTAAATGCTTATATTTATTGCTGAATGAGCTTAAAATTTGTTTCGTTAAACTCTTAATTTAAACAAAAAAAAAAATGATATTACAATAAATGCAATTTTGGCGATTTTTTTTAATTTTACTGTAATTTTAACTATTTTTCATAATTGTCGTTTAAATTTAAGATTATTTAACTTTACTATTTAACAGGTCCATATTTAAAAATGTTGCGCCCCCGGGCATATTATTTATGCCCCCCCGCCCAAAAAAAAATAAATAATAATAATATATCACTTATTATTTCGTCCATAATCGAGATTCTTTAATATTAAAATATAACTTAAAAATGAAAACCGTTTAATACTTTTTTTAATTAACAAATTAAACAAATTATAACATAATAAAACATACTATATTATTTTTTTTATTGTTTTATTATTTTTTTTTTCATTAGATGTATCATTTTTAAAATTAATTTTGCTAAAATATTTTGACGTCCCCGGACATGTGCCTACCCGTGCCGCCCCCCCCCTAAATATGGGCCTGAACTTAATATATAAAATAAAAGATAGTAATTGTAGCAGTGAACAAATTTCTATATTTGTTGTAATACTTATTATTTCTATAGAGCGACTATCACATTTAGGTCGGATAAAAACTTGTCCCTCAATAACATAACTATCGTTTATCAACATTCGCTAGAATAGAGTTGCTGAAACCATTAGAAGTATTTTCAAAAAGTTGATAATCTTATCGCTAAAGAAAAACAAATATTTTTAAGCGCTCCTTCCCGTATTTTATTGTTTAAAGAAGAAGCTCCCCCAATTATTAATATTCTTCCTCAGCCCATGATAACCCGAGGGGGGATATGAATAAATGCCGTGTCTTACTATTGTGAAAAATTTGTAGAAGTACAGTTATAAAATACAGTTATATACAAGTACAGTTGTAAAAATAAAGTTATTAAATTTAAATGATACTATTTCTAGTGAACAAACTCAACATCTTTTGTCGGATAGTTCTATGGAAACCAACTTGGTATTCATTAATTTCAATTATGGTTTCACACCAGCAGAAATTACTAAACTCGAAACCTAACATGTTCCATTAAGCGAAGCTGTATCTATAGTTTAAAACATTGAAACTAAAATAGAAAAAAAATACGGAGCAAAATGGAATATTAATAAACCAGAAATTCAAAACTAATTTATAAAAAAATGTAGGATATCAAACAATTATTCATATATCAAAAATTAGAAGTAGAGAAATACAGTCAATGGAGGGCTTGCCAGAAGACTTGACTAACAATAATTTAATCTACTTCATGTACTTCATGCTCGCGCCAATAACAACTACTGACGTAGAAAAAAAATTCTCCTGATATAAACTTTATTGTGCGATGATAACAAACAATCATTTGATTTTGAAAACTTAAAAAAATCATTTGTAGTGCAATGCAATAATGAAAGCAATATTCATATTTAATTTTTATTATTACTATGTATTGATTATAATTAATTTTTTTCAATGCAATTTTTAAATTTATAAGTGCAATTTTTAATACATTTGAATGCAATAATACAAACAATTTAGTGTGGTTTTTAATTCTTTTAACTCTTCTCTGCCATAAAGTACGGAAGCGTTGAAAGGCCAACTGTATGTTTTTTTTATCTTATTATAAATTGTCACAGCTCATTATTATCAATTATAACTCGTAATTATCTCGTAATTATCACATAATGCAATTCAAATATACGCATTGACACAAGTCGTTATTATGGATTATCACAACTCATTATCAATTACAATTTATAAATTAAAAAAATGTGTAAAAGGGATTTTGTGAGTGCTTTTAAACTATTAAAATGGATTCAAATTGTTGTCAACCATAAGACTTAGTACTTACTACTTTAGTAACATAGATTAAAGAGTACTTTTTTAATGGTTATATAGTATAAATTTGGAATTATTTACTGTCAAAGGTATGTTAATAGTAATTATTTGCATTGGCAGTTCTAGTGTAAGGGCAGCGTAGGATACAGATCGTAGAAAAATGTTGCCCTAGAACCGTGACTGATTATTTGCTTTGTAATACTATAAATTACATGTCTTAACTATCGGTACTATAGTACTAACGTACTATAATTTATGTACTTATTACCACATTCAATTATTATATTATAAGTACTTTGATATTGAATTAAAGCCAATGGATTTACCATGGATTTAAACAAAATTATTAAAAAATATTTTAATATGGGACTCAATTATTCTGAAATCTTGAAATTTTTACACAAAAATTATAGTATTTTTATGAGTTAATAATCACCTTAAAGAGAAAATTAAATAATTGATAATAATGAGTTATGATAATCCATAATAACAAATTTTCATCCAGATGTATATACTACACCAGTGGTTCTCAAACTGTGTTCCGCGGAACCCTTGTGCTCCGCAGAAGTCTAGGAGCTCCGTGGGCATATATTAACTATCTAAATTTAAATATTATTATATTTTTTAGTTATTGATGAAAACACTGGTATGATTGCTTGAATTGTGCAACGAGTTATACGTTTTAGTGACACCAATTTTATTTACAAGTAAGACTTCTGATAAAATTTGATTTTATGACTTCATAACTTGGCTGGTATTTTCACAAAATTAAATTATGTAAATTTATCAATACAATGTAAAATGACCAAAGTTTTCACAGTCAATGACAAAATCCGAATTTTAAAAAAAATGAAATTTTGAACTGTGTGTTTTTCTCATTATGAAATATTAATAATTATTGTTGTCTTGAATATAAATTCTTGATTTTTGGGGCTCCGTAATTTTTTTTGAAAACATATGGGCTCCGCGGACAAAAAAGTCTAATGAAGAACCACTGTACTACACTGTATAATGATACACATTTCGATGCGACTTCTGTCAACGCGTACATTTGAATAGCGTTATGTGATATTTATGAGTTATAATTGATAATAATGAGTTGTGATAATCTATAATAATGAGATAAAAAAAAACATACAGTTGGCCTTTCAACGCTTCCGTATGATAGGCATTGGTTAAAATCCTTATAAAATATATTCTGAAGTAAAATCGTTAAATTAAATATTCTTATCAACAACGATTTAGTTTTCGTCCGGGATATCATAAGTAAATATAATAATCTATAATTTTTGCTGATAAACAAAATGTGATGAACCATGGGGTGCGATCTCAACTACTCAGCGTATCTATCGACCATCTAAGCGCATAAGCTTATGTCTTGCGTGGTCTTTGTGCATTTGTATTTTATATTTATTTAAAAAGTACAATGTATCTTAATATTTACTTGCGATCGCCCTTCTGTCGTTTCTGTTTGCCGGCACTAAATTATTCATAGTTCATCAACAATACACATCTATAATAGTAACGAAAAATATATAAATTCATTTAATATTATGCTGCTTGCCTAATATTGAATAAGATAATTCGGTAACCTTTTTTTATTTTATTATTATAAATGGTTACTTTTCATAAATCAAAACAATATGAAACGAAATTTGAAAAGTATATTGAAGTATTTATTTTTTATTCTGATTACTGCCTTCGTTACAATTGTAATTTTTAAATTGACTATACGAATCAATCAGCATGAAAACAATGATACAAAACAATTAATGACTGCAGTTATTTTGAACGAAAAATTGAACTCAAATAATATTCCCATGATTGATTGGCATGATCGAGATTTAATCAATGTTGAAAAACTACGAACCGGTAACATTTACTACAATTTATTTTATAAAATTCATTTTTAGTATGATAATTTATAATAATGAATTATTATAATCTATATCATCATAGTATTTAAATATTAAAATATATTTAGGTATTGGTGAACAAGGAATAAGTGCTTCACTTCAATCGTTCAATCGACATAAATATGTTGAACTATATAAAGTGAATGGATTTAATGCATTGTTAAGTGATAGCATATCTATCAACCGTTCATTACCAGACATTCGGCACAAATTGTAATTTATCACTATAAATAATTAAATTTGAATATGAACATAAGATTTTTAAATATTAAGATATTTACTTTTTTTTTCATATTGCTTAACAGGTGTAATTTTAAGAAATATAGTAGTAAATTACCAACTGTGAGTGTAATTGTACCTTTTCATAATGAACATTTTTCAACACTTCTCAGAACTGTTTATAGTGTCCTTAACCGTTCTCCTAAAAGTTTACTTAAAGAAATAATTTTAGTAGACGATTCAAGTACCAAAGGTACTTATTTAAAATGATTTTGTTATTAATCTTTAATTTTTTTTACTATTGATGTAAAAAGTCTCTAGTAAAACTAATAATTAATTATAATATCGGTAAATCAGTTATATTTTATTTAAATAATGATGTTTTGGTATTTTCTAGCTAATTTAAAGAAACCATTGGATAATTTTGTATCAAAAAATTTAGCTAATAGAGTGAAAATCATACATTTGAAAAAAAGACAAGGGTTAATAAGAGCTCGTTTAGCTGGTGCAAGAAAAGCTACTAGCGAAGTATTATTATTTTTAGACTCGCATACTGAAGCAAATGTTAATTGGTTACCTCCTTTATTAGGTAAGGTATGGGTTATTTAATATAACATGAATATAATGACAATCTTATTCGTATTTATTTTTAACAATTTAATTTTTAGAACCTATTACTAAAGATTACCGAACTTGTGTTTGTCCATTCATTGATGTTATTGCTTATGAAACATTTGAATACCGAGCTCAAGATGAAGGAGCTAGAGGTGCTTTTGATTGGGAATTTTTTTATAAAAGATTACCACTTTTACCCGAAGATCTTTTAAACCCAACCCGACCTTTTCGGTAATATTTTAGTACCTTATATAATTATGCAATTTATGTTTAGATTATTTTATATTTGTATTAAATTAAAGTTTTTGCATGTTCTGAAAATTTAAGCTCAACATATTCTCAAAAATTTGTACTAAAATACTTGATTATAAGTTATTAATTTATGAATAATTCTTAAACATGGATTTATAAAATGTATACCTAAAGCTTAATGAAATGCACCTCAATATATTAAACAATCATGTATTTTTAATTATTATTTGAATTGTAAATTATATAGATAAAACTAACTTATAATTTATAACTATGAAATAGATTAATGGTTAAAAACTTAAAGAAATCAACTTACTGATAATACACTTATAATTATAAAAGTTAAAACTAATTTTGAATTGTATTCATTTATAGGAGTCCTGTGATGGCCGGTGGTTTATTTGCAATATCAGCTAAATGGTTTTGGGAGCTTGGTGGCTATGACCCTGGTTTAGATATATGGGGTGGAGAACAGTATGAATTATCATTTAAAATATGGCAATGTGGTGGGACTATTTTAGATGCACCTTGCTCAAGAGTAGGACATATCTATAGAAAATTTGCTCCATTTCCTAATCCTGGTATTGGAGATTTTGTTGGAAAGGTAAATATAATAAAAAACAACTTATTTACCTTAAAAATATGAGTAATTTATGTTAAAATATCTATCATTCATTTTATTAATCAAAGATTTTAAACTTCTTTCTTTTTTTCTGGGCTTTTACAGGCCCTTAAGGCCCTTCGCCGCAACAACATATTGTTTCCATTTTCCTTTATCATTTGCACATTCTTCTGCGTTTCTTACGTTCAGGAGTTTCAAGTCTTCCTTTACTCTATCCACCCATCTTTGTCTGGGGCGTCCTCGTGGTCTCTTAGTGTCGGGTTTCCATTTAGTTATTGATCCAATCATTAAGATTAAATCAATTAAGATTTTAAACTACATTACTGTATTAATTGATTTATCTATTGTGTTATAAGAAATTTATTTAATTAATTTAATGTACATTGGCCCCAATAAAGCAACAAATAGTGAATTTTATTATTATATTAATAAATTTAGGTTTTAATTTATATTATCCATTATTTTAAAATCTATTTCAGAATTATCGTCGTGTAGCAGAAGTATGGATGGATGAATATGCTGAGTATTTGTATCTTCGAAGACCACATTATAGAAATATTGACACTGGGGATATATCTGAGCAAAAAAGAAAAAGAAAAAGTCTCAACTGTAAACCTTTTAAATGGTTCATGCAAGAAGTGGCTTTTGATTTAGTAGAAAAATATCCTCCTATTGAACCACCAGATATATTTGATGGAAAGGTAAAAAGGTTAAATTATTTTATTGAATATTTAACTGTATTTAATCTTTAGATTTATATTGAAACATATTAAGATATATTTTTAGACATGTATTGTTTATGTTTAATTGGAATATAACTTAAAATGTATTTGTTTCATATAATCATTAGTATTTATTGTTATCAAATAATACATTTTAAGTAATAATTACAGTGGCTAACATGTTTTCAGTTTTTATAAACTGTTTATTTTAGATAAGAAGTTATACTGCTCCTGAATTATGTTTAGATGCTAAGTCTGAAAAGAAACTTGATTTAAAGGAATGTGTTGATGATGACATTGAAACTCAAGTATAATTTAAATACATTTTTTTTTTTTTTTTTTTTGTAAATTTTATTTTAATAATTTTTTTGTTTTCAGAAATTTATATTAAGCTGGAGGAATGATATTAAAACGAGAAATAATTTGTGTTTGGATATAAGTGATTCATCATTCAAGGCTAAAATCACTTTGTATGGATGTCATAATGGTGGAGGAAATCAATTATGGCATTATGACCATGTACAATTTAAATTTTTACTGAATATCTGTTTCGTTTTTTAATGTTTGATTCTATTTTTCAGAAAAAAATGAAGCTCGTTCAAGGGAATAATCATAGATGTATGGAAAATGACATCAGTACTAGAAAAGTTTATGTTACTCAATGTAAACAAAATTATGATGACCAAAAATGGATAGTAGAAAATTTTAACTCACAATCATCTACTTGGTCATTAACTTATTAATAATACTGACAAAATTATTTATCTAAATGTAGGTCACAATATATGAAAATAATTTTATAACTTATTTACTTAATTGATACAAAATAAATTTTTTTTTTTTTTTTTTTCATAGTAATTGGAGAAAGTAACAGAATTGATAAAATGACAAAAATATATAAATCAATTAATTTTACACTCAATTAAATATTTTTGACTTCACTTAAATTAAAATAAAAAAATTAAAAAAAATAACTATTATAATTATATATTATTAATATTAATAGTTTAACTCAAGCAATAACTAATTACATGACATTGAATAAGTTTCGATTTTTGAAGATCATACTTTTACGAACAAAAATAATTGTAAGTAAAATATTAATTATTGACATTTAAAAAATTGTTATAGTTAAAATTTATACTTATTTAAAAAAAATATATATATAAGAACACTATATTTTAAGGTATTATAAATTTAGTACTGAATAATTTTCAGATTAATAATATATTATTACTGTGGTTTTATAGTAAAAATATGTGTAGTAAATTCAAATTATGCTTTATTTTAAACTTGTGTCATTTTTATCTGTGATACTAATATTTTAAATTTTGATTATTAATATTATATTTTGTTACCAATTGATTTGTATTATTTGCAATGTTAATTTTTTATTTTAACATTTTATAATTAAATATTTATTTATTAAATTAAAAATTATTTATTTTTATCTTTTCAATTGTATGTACAGCTATTTGTTTAATACCTGCTATATTATAATTGTCACTTCATTCTTGTTATATTTTAATTTAACTTAAACTAAATTTACAATAAAGTATCTATTTCCAGATACTTTCAATTATGATCTTATTTATTATGTGTCTATACTTTAGTCATAAATATTAATTGTTCTCTAGAGTTTATAATAACTTAAACTAAGTAGTAAGTTAAATTAAAGTACATCAAAATGTTTATTATAGGTGTCCATTAGTCTGAAGTTATTAAGGAAATATCACAAAATAAATGCCTTAACTTCCCTGTATTTATTACATTAGATCAAATTCATAAAAACAAAATTATTCTTTTAATTTTTTCTTAACTTCTCTGACAAAAAATAATTTTCAAATATACAAACTTGTTTTCTTAAGTATTTAGTTCACCTAAACTAAGCTTAATCAGTTTTGGCTAAAGAGATATCTAGAAAGTGCTCTGTTGCATCTAGTTTGCTTCTACATTTTTTCCCTAAATTATTTGAAATTATAAAATTATTTTCATTTTTCCCAAAAAAATTGTTAAATTAAAACTATATTATATTAAATGTATACAGTTAGATTAAAAAAAAATTGCAGTTACTACTGTGTATCATACTTTTGGGTTGTCCATTACTTTTGTTATTTCCTGGTGAGCCTTCATTAACTTCCTCAATTATGGAGATGTTATGTTCGCCAGCACCGGCAACCATTAAGTTTTAGTCGTTTTCACAGTCCCCGAAATAATTCGCATTAACTCGTTCAGCTCTATGACTCCTTTTTTTACAGTGAGCATTCATTAACCATACTGGGGCACAGTACTTGGTCACGCTGTAAACCAGTGCTAATGTAGATGTTCATAGGACTTCCAATTTGCTACCCGTATTTCCTAGACCCTAATAGTCCGTATGCATTTTTAAGTATTTTGTTTGAATATTTCATCTTTATTTTTTCTTCTTAAAAGGAGTGGCGTATTTTTGAGGAGGGGGTTTTCGGGTTTAAACCCCCCCAGGGCCAAAAAAAAAATTGTTTTATTATTAACGACGTGTAATATATTCGTAGTTTCATTATTACGCTTTGAACTTAAAATATACAACTATACAAATATTATGATAATTAAATAATTATATTGATAGGTGTTTGAAAACTTGTTAACTATGCTGTTTTTATATTCCATTAGCTATTAATTTACTGTCATGTAAAAGTAAACTGTAAATTGGTAAAAAAGTTGTATAAAATAATTTCTATTTACAGCAGTTATTTATCTTATTTATCTGTGCAACAAAAAAAAAAGATGACGATTATTTTTGTTAACCCCCCCCCCAGAGCAAGATTGAATGTACACCACTGTATATATCATACGACGATGATCAACGATCGACAACGATAATATAAAATACACAAACATAAAAACCGATTTATATTATTATTAATAATGTATGTATGTAATGTATTATACATTATAACGTCGATCACTGGCGTATTTATGGGGGGAGCGAGGGGATCCGGGCCCCCTCCGAAATTTAAAACACCATTGTTAAAGATTGTTATTTTTAACATGGATATGTCTTAATGCTGGGGGTTTCCGAAAATTTGTCGCGACACTGAGAATGTTGCTTATGCAATAATTTAAAATTTTATATTTTGTAAAATATGTTTATTCTTTTAAGAAAATATGTGGTGAATTTTGAGTGACTAATAAAAAATTTGTTTATTACAATATTGTTTTTATACTTTTAAAAAATAATAAATCATTAAAAAAATTGAATTTCTTATTTCTCTGATGGTGTAAAGACATTTCAGGAGTCTTATAGTGTTAAAGTAATTTTTTTCGTAATAGTGTGCTTCCTCCTTCCCTTCCACCGAAAAATCAAATACATAATCGGCCCCCTCCGAAATGAAAACCTATATATGCCACTGACGTCGATAATAGAAAATAATTTCTATGAATAAGATATTTTTACTTTTACAGAAATGATGAGTGTTTTAAATGTTTAATATATACAAATTATACATTACACAGTACACACTATACGTATTATTGATTTGATTTTGTAAAATATAAAAAATCTCTATTGATAAATAGAAATAATTTAAATATGGTATTAGTTAAACTATTAAGTTAATTTAGTTAAAATTACTAAACAGTATATATTAGTTACTCTATTATATACCGATCTATAATTTAATCTGTAATATTTTTCTGAAAAAAAGACTTACCGAGGTACCTAATTTGAGTTCTACATTACAACCTTAAGCTATGGTCTCACAAAAAAATATACACAGTGAGTTTTGCCCTTCGTATGGGATATAATCTTGAACAGTAGCTATCTAAATTAGTGTAACATGTATTTACATTTTTTGTTTGAAAAAAAAAATACACTAAAATAAAGGTTAGAAACCGGTTCTAATCTGAACCTAAATTTTGAGCTTTATGAAATCCTGATATTTAACCTAACCCCCTTAAAAAATATTTAAAAGATCCGAACCCTAATCGTTAAAATCATTAAGGTCTCAGTCCCTGATTTAGACTTTAGTATAGTTTCTTTCTGATATCTGAAACTAAAAACAAACTTGCTGTGAGTTATATATTGTACCATTTAGTTATAATAAGTATAATATTAAAAAAAAATTTATAGGTAATGACCTAAAACATATACAATATACATATATACCGTGTCCACAGAAATAGGGTACACCTTACCACTCATTACCCTTTATATATTTTTCAATTCTGTTTTCGGGACATTAAATTAGACTATTGGATCTTTAATTCAATGGCTTACAATTTCTTCTCACGTATTTTGCACATGCGCAATACAACTTCACTTTTTTTAAATGGCAACCCCTATTTTGAATATCATTTTCGGATTAAAGGATTTTTTCAAGGAATTTTGATCCAAAAACTACTACTCTCAATCCAATATTGGTTGAATGAATGCTATTAAAAAAAAAAATTATTTTGATGACATTTATTTTTTAATTTTAATTTTATTATTTTAAACTCTATTATACATTTTTTATTTCCAATTCAATTTACAAAAATCACAAACATAAATTACTCGATAAATTGTTTTGAAAGTCCCTCCATTATTTAGAATGCTTCAAATCAACGTGAACATTCACGATTAGTCACTGATAGTATTTGATTTTCATTCAAGAGGTTACACGCGTGTGTAATTTTATTTTTTAAGTCTTAATTGTTGACTGTAGGATCTGTATATACAAAATTTTTCAAGTGTTCCCACAAAAAAAAAAATCTAACGTTGTAAGGTCAGGTAAAGTGTACTGGTTCATGTGTTGCAATAAATTTTCCACCAAATTTTACTTTTAAAAATGCATGTACAATTCGGGAATTATGAACAGGTGCCCCATCTTGTTGATAATACATTTTTCTACGTGTATCTAAGGGTAAATCGTCTAAAAAAAGAAGCAAATCATCTCGCAAAAAATCTAAATATCTTCTTCCTGTTAATGTTCCGTCGTAAAAATGAGGCCCTTTAACTGGAAAGTAACTTTCCACCAATCATACCAATCCATACGTTTGTACCCTAACATGTTTGAAAGTTTGTATGAACAGATCAGTGAGGATTTTCATTCGACCAATAACGATTATTTTGCTTATTTAATACTCCATTATTAGTAAATTTACTTTCATCAGTCCATAAAATATGGTTAATCAATAATGGATCATCCTCAAACGTCACCATAAACCAAGAAATAAAATTTAATCTTTTTCTGGATTTGTTATACGTAAATGTTGGACAAAGTCTGGCTTGTAAGGGTGTAGTTTTTATTTCTTTAAAATCTTATGAACTGAAGTTTTAGATACGCCAACTTCAAGTACAACGTGTCTAACAAACGAACGTAGGTTAAGATGTACATATGCCAAAACTTGATTTTCAATATCCTTATTTAAATTTTGATTTGCACGAGGTTGTTGTTGAATAGTATTTGTTCTATTGAATGAACCATTTTATTTTAATGACTTTTCAAGTTTTTGAACATAAGTATAATGAGGATGGTACCTATCTGGATATTGGCAGGCGTACATCATTGTTGTTTCACGTGCATTTCTGTTACATTTTCCATAAATTAACAGTAACTGAAATTTTTCATGATTATTCATGATTGAATTTTTATTTTGATAAGATTCAAACTTTAACTTTATAATACCAATTGACAATAATTAACCGAAAACGTAGAACTACTAAGACCGCAATGACACACGACTCTGATAATGAATCTCATAATAGGTCTTTAAATATAAAAATACCTATGTAATGTCATTTTAATAGGTATGGGTAGATTACGAAAATATCTTTAATCTTTAATACTCATAAATTATGACAAAAATAAAAACAACTAAAAATAAAATAGGTAGATTTTCATATGTTTGTTGTATGATTACGTCAATTTGAAGCATGCATTCAAAATAATGGAGGGACTTTCGAACAATTTATCGAGTAACTTATGTATATGATTTTTGTAAATTGAATTGTAAATAAATAATGTGTAAATAATAATATTAAAATTAAAAAATAAGTGTCAACAAAATAATTTTTTTTTTTTAATTTTAAATAGCACTCATTCAGTCAATATTGGATTGAGAGTAGTATTTGTTGGATCAAAATTATAGGAAAAAAATCCATTAATCCGAAAATGATATTCAGGGGTTGCCATTTAAAAAAAAGTGAAGTTGTGTTGCGCATGCGCAAAATACGTTAGTAAAAAAAATATGTCATCGAAATTAAAGATCCAATAGTCTAATTTAATGTCTCGAAAACAGAATTGAAAAATATATTAAGGGTAATGAGTGGTAAAGTGTACCCTGTTTCGGTGCACACACGATATATATATATATATATATTTATACATACAGGGGTGGAAGACGGGGATTCATCCACGGACGTAAAAATATAGATGGTGTAATTTTTGTAACTATTCACAGTTAATTTTATGTTTTTAATTCCGTTAAATATTGATATTAGGTTAAAACTCAATTAGTATAATTATATATCAGTTATAAGAAAAAAAATCTCCAGAAGAGTATTTGATTATCGGTCTATGATAGGGCATGATTTCAACATTTTCTCCGGGCGTGAAAATTCCTAGTTCCACTTGTGCAAGGCCGTAACTGAGGGGGTCCAGGGGTCCGGACCCCCCCCGAAATTTTCAAAAGTAGAAACATTTTAGTGGTGAATATAGTTAATTAACTATAAATTGTATAAAATAATAATGTTAGACCCCCCGAAATTTTTTTCCAGTTACGGCCTTACACTTGTGTATATATATATTATGTTCTATGATAATTAATATATATATATATATATATATATCGTATTTTACTAATTATCCATTGGGTAAAAATTAATAAAATATTGACCAATACGATGTGTTAAAAATAAAAAAATTATAATTATTTATATATTCAAAAAGCAAGGTTGTCAGAAACACAGATATCTATATTATATAATATAGATATCTGTGGTCAGAAAACGTATTATCAAGCATCATTGTATTGCATTTTCTTATCACACAATAAGCTTATGTTATCATAATTTAGATGTCTCTCATGTCGTAAACAAACACAAAAATTCAGTTCGTTATCATTATTTACTGTAAAATCATTTTCGTGTTACCCCATAGAAATGTTGGCAACTACATTGTTTTATTCTAAAGTTCTCCTGTCAAATTTCTAAATTAATTTTTTTTCTACCATATTAACGAATAATTTGTTGTATTCTATAGCATTAAAATTTTTATTTATACATTGTTTTTTTTTTACTGTTTAGTAAATGCATATCTAAATATAATACAATATTTTTTATATTTTTTTTTTATTATATTTAATTTAATAATATAGTTACAGGTAAGAAATGTATGTAATATTTATTTTTTTTAATGATACAGTTAAAATATATCATTGAATAAATACTATTTACTATTTATATTGTAAGTAATGGAAAAATTTCACAATTGACCAACAAAAAAATTGTTTTTACTAAAAATAAAATAAACACATCTTGTGATTTTAATGAAAATTGTATTTACATAAATCAATAAAGCTATATAAAAACGAATTTTAAACAAAGTCGAAAAAAAATTTAATGAACTTATTTGATATAGGTAGTTAAATCCATTGAATTAATACTAAAAAAAAAAAAATGTATGATTTTATTTTTAAATCAATAGTTTACTTTGCTTTATGGCACAGACATGTTACACCTATATACCTAAGTTTCCTAGGCGTTTGACTATAGGATTTACCTACCTCTGTATTGCATACAGTCTCCTCCCCTACCATTTTTTCAAGCTTTCCCTTAATTCTTTTCCACTCTGTACTAGTCCTCATGAAGAATCAATCTGCGATTTTAACAACATAATACTAAACTGTCCTTTCCTTCTTCTTCCTAGTAGATAACTTCTTTTTTCATTTTTATCTTTCTTTTGCTATATAACTCCCAACTCCATTCCTTTCATTAATTTCATCAATTCCTTCGGCTACCTTTTTTAATTGTATACATAAATATTTTATTTTTTTATTTTACCTTATTTTTAAAAAATATTGTTAACAACTTAAATTCTATGTATAACTAATCTAATTGTACTGCTTTAATGTTGACGACAAAGGCAAATTAAATAAAAAAATTAATAATTTAAAGTAGTAATTAAAATGTCTATTATATATATATATATATATATATAGTTTATCAATTTTGTAAAAATTGAGAACAATTAATGTTTCACAAATATTTTATTATTCAGCTACATACAAAATATATATTTATAAATATAAACTTATTATAACATAGATATATTTTGTTAGGAAATGAATCAAAACGGTTTTAGTACTGGTGAAGAAGACTCACGCGGTCCACTTGATAAAATTTGTTGTTTACAAGAAGATGGATTTCGTTGTCAGAGGCAGGCTGGAAATGCTTCTTATAGTAAAAAAATACGCAACACTGTCAGACAACTTAAGTTACATCTGGATGCTGTTGTAAGCTTAAATATATATTTTAGGCATAAAATATTTTTTAAATTAAATAATATATTATTAGGCAAGACATATATACATTTGTGATTATCACAAAAATATGATTCAAAGCGCTAGATCATTGAAACCATCTAGTCAAGATGAAGCACCAGAAGTAGACTTTTCACAATTACAGATGAATACTCTAAGACGTTATAAAAAACATTTCAAAGTAGTTACAAAACCCAGTCTTAATAAAGCTCAAATGGCAGAGGTAATTATCAAATTTTATGTGTCCTTAAAAAATAAATATAATTCAAGATATTGTACAATTCTAATGTAATTTTTTGTAATTTTTAGAATACTTATTTTGATTACCTAGTATTAATTTATGTAATATATTATATTATTTTTAATTTATAATGGTTATTTGTAGAAAATTAGAAAATAATTAATTTAAATCAAATACATAAATTCAGCAAATATAAACTAGTAATTATTAATTTTATAGTAGTACCTATTTATAGCTATGTTATATTGGTATAGTTTCAAAAATAAAAAAAAGCATTTTTTAACATTATTTTTTATTATTTAATAATATGTATTGTATGTGTTTTATAATGTATTTTTATTGTAAAATTTCAAAATAAATTTTATGTAAAAATCATGATATTTTTACCTATGGTGAAAATAAACATTTATTTTTCTATAATTTTTTTATAACTATATTGTTCATACATAAAACAAACATATAAATATATATATATATTCTTTTTTTTATATTTAATTAAATTTATTATGCCATTCTTAATAGTGTGTTGGAATTAGGTATTATGATTTTTTATTCATATTTAAATAAAAATAACATTTAAGTACTCTAATAATAAATCTAATAAATTAATTTGGTTTTGAATTATAATACTTATGAGTTGATAACAGTTCATAGGACTTTTCTTTCACTTTGGTAAATTTATCCTCTACAAGGTATAAATAAATTCACGTTGAATATGACATACTCTTTCCTGACAATAATTCATAATTTTGAAAATAGATATAGACACTATAAAAATTATTTAAGAATGTATATTATTTTATTGTTTATGTAGATTCAAAAATAGAATTTAAATTATTTTGTGAAATTTGTATTGAACTAAATACTTTAAGTACTCTAAATATTAAACTAATTCCTTACTCTTTTTTAGTCACTTTTAAACCATTTCAAGACGATATCAGTTAACGAAAAAGAAGCTCTTACGTTCTTCATTTATACAATCAAGACAAATGGTAATAAACTGGATCAAAAAAGTGCAAATAATAATTCAGATACAACGTAATTGTAATACTACTTTTGTAAAATTATTTATTTTATTTTATATTTATTTATTTTATGTATATTCACTGATTAGTATTTAAATGAATATAATATATATGAACTATTTGAGTTATTAAGGGGCAATCAATTTATAGAATTTTCTACAATTATTTTTATAAAAGAGTAATTAAAAATTGTATATTTAGTGTTAAATTAAATATAGATTTTATTTATCTAAATATTTTAAAAACTAAAAACTTATTTGATCAAACATAATTGTTTTCAAGTTATACAATATTAAATTTTTTTATTTTTCAATGAGTAAATAAATGGTTATATAAATTATTTCTCTTTATTTATTATGATCAACTACTTATGATTATGATGAAAAATAAACCTCAATAATTCATAAAAAATGTCTTCAATAACAAATTGAAACCAAATTTACAAACATAATTAAAATAAAATTTAACAATTTGTGTTAAATAACTGTTGTTTTTTTATAATAAAATTTGTTAGTATCTAACCTATTATTAATATTAATTCAATATTTAATTCATATAATGATTTTTTCTTTATGATATTATAAAACAAGTTATATGTAAATACAGTGAAAACTGCCTTAATATAGAACTACTAAGGGCTCCCTAAAAATATCCTTTTAAAATAAATTTCAGGCTTATTTAGGTATAGTTTTTATCAGATTTTGCTGTATTACCTTAATGTTTTATAGAATGTCTATTATGTTTATAGAAAGTTTAATAGTTATTGATTGCCTATCATTTGAAGGGTATTTGATCATTATTTATGTGTATTGCAAATTAAAAAATTGTGTCTATTCTATGTATATTTACTAAACATTTTAACTAACAATTTTTAATTTAAATAGTTTACCTTTGCACTCTTTCCTCCTGTATCATGTGTGTTCCATTGTAACTAGTTGTTATAATTTATTTATTATGTTTGTTTACATGAAAAATATTTTAAATATTCAAATCATATATTTATATGAGTAAATAGAATATATAGATAAAAACAATGTAAATATTTTATAGGTCATAAAATGATGAAAATCATGTGATTGAGTATACATTCTATAGAATAACTATTTCTGGAAATATAGTTTAAAATAAACTATCTATAATTTTTCCCCGGTCTATAATTTGATTAGAGATATGTAATAATATGTATAATTAAAACATTTGAGAGTCATTTTAACTGACAACTGCTTATAAATTAGAATCTGTTAATTCATTTTCTTTTTTACTTTATTTACATAGTGTCTAAATAAAATATTTACTTAATAATATATTTTCATAATGTTAATATTTAATAACGTTTAAATTGCATGTATAATTATTATATTCAGTAAAATTGAAAATAGCTTTTAATTTTCTGACATTTTTATACATTTTATATCAATAGTTGTCAATATTGAAGTATTACTTTGATTTAAAATCACTATGTGTTCATTATTATATTTACAATTATTCTTGTGTACATATTACATGTAAATTAATTGAAATCCTAGTTAACTATAGCAAATAATAAAAATGTTGTAATTTAGTATAATTGAAAAATAAAAATGTTTGGCGAATAAGATTTTTGGAACTAAAATATTTTTTTTTTTTTAATGAATATTCGAACTTAAAAATTGTCAGTGTATCTTATTAATTTATTAAGTAACTAGTTATTTATAGATAAGTCTAACCATTCATTCTTTAATAATCAGTGGTAGTTATGCAAAGAAGAATAGTTGATTGCCCCCTTCCTCTGAGAATAGTCCTCACTTAATATAAGTATCCACTATCAAAATTATCTATGTAGATAAGACAGATTAGTTGGTTAATTGGTATATTATTTTTTAATTTGCTAGTAAAAGTAGTTCAAAAGTAAAATATTTTACCTTTGTGTAATTGTACATTTTTACTGTTAATATTTATTTACATAAATAGGTACTATAATAATTTTTATAATATTTATCCTTTTTTTTTTTTTTTGTGCATTGTAGGCATTAAGTCATTTCACATAAATGCTAAATTAATTATTTAAAATCTTTTATAGAAACATCAAACTATGTATACTAATATTGATGTTCACTGTCTTTTAAACACATTGTAAAATCTGTAATAATTTATATTATTATATTTTCGTACTGATTGAAGTAATTAATTTCCAACAAGACAATGAAGTCCCATGACCTGTGGATTTTTAATTTGCCATCCTCAATATTTTGATAAATAAACACCACTACAATATTTATAATCTTAGCCTGAGTAACTATTTAAATAATTTAAGCATTAAGCATATTATACAATATTATACATATTAAATAATGTCAATTTAATGATTGGGTATTATCTACTTTTATTCAGTAACACAAGCACAATTAGAATTTATTTTAAATAGTCCTCTAGCTCTGACTCTTCAGTCCTGCTAAATGTTTTTAATAATTAATATAATGTCACCTATAATATAGAATTTACAAAAGAAAAAAATTCTATTGTGGATTGTACAACTAGTGATCTCTTTTAATTCCCCTTAGTTGCGTCACTGATTTTTATACCATACGGCTGATAATATACATTTATCATGTATAAATTTGAAAACTATTTATATATTATTTATTTTAATGTGGCATGTATAACTTAAAATTTAATAAATATATTTAATCATCAGCTCTCAAGCTGGCTTCCTAAAAAACACCTTTATAGTAGTCTTATTTATTAATATTTAGTAAATACCTACACATTTCTTGAATCTGTAGTACATACTTCCTTGGACTCACATTTTGTGTTGAGGTTCACTAAAAAATAGGAACTTATAAGTACATATTGGCAAGACTGGGTATTAACGAGTTAAAAATTAATTACTTTATTTTGGAACTATAATAATTTTTAATTGAACAAGTAACTTTTTCAATGTTTTAACCTGTTAACTTGAAGTTAAATTTATTCAGAAGTTAAAAAATTAAGTTTAATTTTTACATAAACCAATTTTCTATATAATTTTATTTATTTGAGAAATATTATCATAATAGATGTATTACAATAGTTTGCAAAATTATAGTTAATAAAATAATTTAAATGAAAAAAATTAATTTTAGGATTTATATGAGGTTTTTTTATATACTTTTTTATGTATTTTTTTATAAAAATTGTATTTATATTTTTCATACAAAAACCAGTGGAAGTAAATAAATATATTTACTATGAATACATAGGCAATTACTTGAATAATTATTATGGGGAAGGACTTTTTAGTCATAATGAATTTAAAATTTACAAAAATGAAACAATAAAATCAAATGAGTACCTAAAAAATTGTAAGGTGAGATTTTATGTATGCAAATTCATTAATTATGTTCTCTTAATCAATTTTGCTGCAAATTTAATTTCCAATGTTGAGAATAGCAGTAAAACTATAAAACTGTTTAAATAATAATTGAGATCACAAAAAATGTTTAGTCCTTTTTAATGTTGAGGACATTTCAGCATAACAGTTTAAGGCTGGAAGGTAGTGTCGTAAATATGGGAGGGGGGTGCTTAATGGGCTCCCCCCGAAATGTTTCAAATAACTTAAAAATTATTTTAATCATTTATTATATTTTAATGGTGCTTTATTCTTATTTAGAATTCGCATCAAATGGCAACTATAACTATGTTTACGTAGTCCGTTTTATCTTTTTGATATTCTTTCTTTTATTTTGACTACCTATCTAGAGAATAAATGGCAAAAATAATTTAGTAATATCAAAAATGTAATAAGTTATAGCATTGACTATAAATGGTATTTATCTCCAATGAAAAAATTCAAAAATATGCTTTAGATGCTTTGAAAATTTGTCAGCCTGATTTGTTTCCTAGCATATATATATATATATTATTAAAAATGTTATGTATCTTACCAATAACTACTGCATCAGCTGAGAGCAGCTTTTCAACATTTGGGAGACTAAAACTTACGTACCAAATCAATGTGGAAATATCCGATTAACTAGATTAGCCTTGATAACTATCCATCGTAATATAGTACTTAACATTGATGATATTGTAAATAATTTTATAAAAAAAAAAAAAAAAAAAATAGAAAAATGATTTTATCCAGGTTGCATTTATTTTATTCAATTGTACTTCAATAGTTCATTAAAATGTTTTAAGGTTCTCAATTTATGGTCAATGTTTATTATTAAGAGTTAATTATATAATAAATAAATACATTATAATTGTATAATACATTTTATTCATAGCATATTTTATTATAGAAATGGTCCAGTAGACATATATAGGTATATATATATCAAATAGTCAAGTATAACATCATATACCCTTTGTTCATAAATACAGGATTATACTTACTATAGAAAATACGTAAATAATGTGATCAGTTGAGACAATTTTTATTGCCTTTCATGGGTGTATTTGAGGGGAAGGTCAAAGGGGACATTTGTCTCAACCCATGGCTTGTATTTTTTTTGAACATAATACATTGATTTATTTAAAAAATGTAATGTATAAACAATTAAGAATATAAACTACTAGTCTATCATTATAATACGATGTATTTTATCATTATAACAGAAACATGAGCTGTAGGTAATGAACTATAAATTATTTTTAAGTTTATATTGAAGAAAAATTAGAGCCCCCCCATGGCCTCAACTCAAATATGCCCGTGTTGTCTCTGTCAAATAGTTTTGGGATATTCTATAAATGAAATGTAGATAAGTACCTAATGTGTCTTGTTAATATTTCTTAGATAGCAATGGTCAAAGCCCTATCTAGACATTTTTTTTCAGGAGGGGTCTAAACATGTATATTATAATTTTATTAAATTAAGATTTAACTTTTGATATTTGGTCAAAATAAAACAGAAAAAGATTTAATCTTCTTTTATTAAAATTAATATCATATTTTTATAAGATATTATGATATAAAATTAAAAGCATTCAATGATTAATTGGAGCTTAACTCATTTTTGACTGAAAATATTTATATTGATATTAAAAAAGAATAATTATTTTAAACATTTGTAAAATATTGAAGAAATTTCAGGGGGGGGGGAGTCCAGACACCTTGGAAATTTTTCTAGATACGGCCTTGGCAGTGGTAATTTAACTCTTTCCATGGTAGTCCCC